GAAAATGTGCTGTCAAACAACAAACGTCCTCAAAAACTGCTTGAGTCCAGAAAGCTAGCCTAAGAATTTAACTGATAGTGGAAGTTAAAATAAGAAACAGGAATATTTAGAAGAAAAACTCCATATATGCTGCAATTTTTAAAGGTGCTGTCATAAAGGTTACTCATAACACAGCAAGATAGATACCATCCAGGTTTCTATTGGCAGGGAGCTGAGATTGCACCACTGCACTCCAGCCTGGGCATTAGAAAAATTAAGCATTATAAATGACTTTAGATAAAATAAAGAGGTACAAGTTGAAATTATAAGGTTTTTTTTTTCTTACAGATTAGCCAAATTGTGAAAAAAGACGTACTACCAGTGTTGCCACAGATGTGGAGAAAGAGCCTAGCTGCAGCGTCCGTGGCTATAGGAGAGTAACTGGATTATGTATGGAGGCCTATTTGACATTTGGAGCATTAATCATCTTTGAGGCAGCCAATTCCATCTCTTAGAACTGGTCTCAAAGAAACTGCACAAGAGGAACAGCTATACGGACAAGGACAGTGGCTGCAGCAATGTTGTAATTGTGGAAACTGGATACAGATGTGTCAGAGGAAAGTGTTCAAATACACAGCAGTGTTGTCAGCCAATGGAAAACTGCGACTACTGGAAAGAATGACACATATAGGAAGATGTTTAAGAGTATAACACTAAGGGGAAAATGCATGTTTCAAGAGTCCACATCATTGGATCCTCATTAGCTTACAAATGAGATGTAGTCAGCCAGGCATGGTAGCTCACGCCTGCAATCCCAGAACTTTGGGAGGTGGAGGAGGGCAGATCATGAGGTCAGGAGATTGAGGCCATCCTGGCCAACATGGTGAAATCTTGTCTCTACTAAAAATACAAAAATTAGCTGGATGTGGTGGCAGGCACCTGTAATCCCAGCTACTCGGGAGTCTAAGGTAGAAGAGTCGCATGAACCTGGGAGGTGGAGGTTGTAGTGAGCCCAGATCGCGCCACCATGCTCTAGCCTGGGCAACGGACTGAGACTCTGTTTAAAAAAAAAAAAAATTGAGTCATGTTTTTAAAGATGTCGTGTTTTGGTGCACCAAATACCTGCCTTCCAAACTCTTGCCGAGACTTACCCCTTTTCTTCTCCCTCCCCAAGCTCCTCTGGAAACTGCCTTGGCCTCACGCTGCCATGGCCACAGAGGATCAGGATAGCCATCACAGCCCACCTACCTGGGCAAGATGTCCCTTTCCCAGGATTTTGTTTCTTGACACCAGGGAAACCAGCCAGCTTTGTGTACAAATGCAGGTGGTGGGCTGGTTGTCTGTCACCTGGGGAAGGCTGCCCCCCAAAACAGGAAGGAGAATGTAGCTGCATGCAAGGGCCACACAGGCTAGACCCAGAGCCTGGGTCTGCTGCTGTTCTGTCTTAGGCAGCCCTCTGCCCAGGTATGCAGCTCGTGCGTGCGAGATCTGACATCCTTCCAGTAAGACCCCTTTCCATTTAAACATTTATTTGAGAATGTTTCTGTTCTTTGCAACCATGCATCTTAACTAATAAAAAAATGCAGTGAAATCTGTAGGCATATACCCCAAACTGTTCCCAATGTCCTTTCCAGTGAGAGTCCTAGAACGGAGAATTTTACTATCCTATGCATTTTGCAATGCTGGGATTTTAATTGCTTATTTTTACAACAAGCATACAGTGCTTTTGAAATCACGAAGACAGATCTCACTTGAAAAAAGCATAAAAAGCATTTCATATCTATACCTTGTTCTCACAGAACCTAAAAGGTAAGTGACGAGGACATTTGAGCAGGAGGACTTATCATATGCTGTCATGTCAAGGATGTGTCTGGGCTCGTCTGCAGAGCTCACTCACACCAGTGTTTGTCCCCAAGGACTTTGGACAGACTTTCCTGACATATGGATGGAAAACATCTCTCTTCAATAAAGATGACTGTGTCAGCCAGATCTAGTCTCTCGTTCCCTGAAGCTTACTGATGGTGAGATAGGACAGGCCTGTCCTAACTAGGTGACTGTTTGAAAACACCCCTTCAATGGATATAAATTCACTCTCCTCGACTTTTTTTTCTGCCCCAATGAAACTTTATCTTAGTCCAGACTAGTTCAGAGAGTGACAGCTGGGCATCTCTTGAGCACTTGCTGCCGTCCAGTCCAATTTGAGGATTACACCCCAGAGTGAGTGGCTAGACAGGCAGCACCCCGACTGCTGCAGGCACCCACAGGCTCACAGCAAGGCTGCAACCACCATTCTCACGGTGCTGAGACAAGGGACTCAATTTCAGTCTCTGAGAGTGCAGACTTGCTGTGGCCAATCCCGTCTTGGCCATAGTTCCTTTGTGGACTGAGATTGGTGACTGCACTGCACAGGAGATGAACTGTGAGGCTTGGCACAGATGGTGGGCTTGACCAAGGATTCCTATTTCCACTTCCCAACACCTTAGTCCATGTGCCTCTTTGTCATGATATGTTGATAAAGCCATCCAGGCAATCAACCTAGTCACTCTGTCCATAAGACTATTACACTTTCTGATGAGGCCATGGCTGTATTTTTCAAAAATGAAGTAGCACCAACCCTGGGCTCCTGCCAAGTCAACCAAGAGCTGGCTATCACTTTTATTCTTTTTGCTGGTTAACTGCCCCTCTCCCGCTCCTCTCTAAAACCATTCACTCTCCTGTCATTAGGAGCTGCCTACGGGCTGCCAGGAATGCCACTGGAGGCCTGATACTCAGCATTCCTTTCCTGAACCTTTGAGGTGCAGCTCACAGATGTTCTGATTAGAACTCTCTATACTGGTGGTTACGGTGGAAGGAAAGGGGATTTGCTGGGCCACATAAAGCTTCAACTAAGAAAGATCCTTTTCTTTATTTTCATAAACTTGACATGGGGGAATGTCTGAGCCAGAATGTCAAGATTTACAAACAAAATTACTATAATTACCCTAGTTAAGAAAAGGGTCTGGTGGTTTCGGACTTGATTCTAAACCCACATTTAACATAAAGCAGTCGAATTGCATCAGGTTCTAAGAATGTGGAGTGACAAATGATTGCCCTGTGTGTGGCTCTTCTGTGCTCACCAGAGCTGCTCTGATTTGGGTGGGAGGGTAAAAGTGAGTTTTTAAAGGAGAACTGAGTGAAATTGGAGCTTAAGACTTCTGTACTTGGATGGGAAGACCTATTTGAGACTGAAATCAATTTAAGAGCCATTCTTTGGTGAGGTTATCCTTGGAAATGATGACTCTGTGTTTTGAATTTATCTCAATCTGCAGAAAGATAGGATCCCAAATTAAATTTCTCTAAGAAAACAGACTCAAAATCAAGGCTCACCTGTAAGTTCAAGAACTTCTAACAAATATTCGAAAGCTAACTAGATGGTGATAACATTGTCTTCACTCCTGACTGGTTGTAAATTTGTCTCTGATTCAGAATAAAACAGTAAAATTCTTTTTGGGGATAGGGAGGTTTGGGCAAATGATCTGTAGCACAAACCTCAGAAGCTACTGAAACAGCACACGTTTCCTGTCAAGCAAATTCTTATGTTCACTAGTAAAACAGCACAGCATCACTGACATGAGAACTATGTTTCTATACTAAATAAACACACAAATTATAGATTACACACATCTGGAAAAGTCATTAAGAAGAGCATCTGCTTTCTGTGTTTACACAGTAGAATCTCGTTTTATGAAAAAACATTATGATCTGTGCTTCACTGAATGAGACACCTGTTGCCAAAGTAAGAAGAATCAAGTCCCTGCGTTTGTGGGCACCTGGCTGAGTGCACTGCTGGGCCCCCCCTCTCCTGGGACACCTACGCCAGTACAGGTAAATGGAGGTACTGAGGTAGATGGTGGGTCCCGCCGGGGGAAAGAGAGAGGGGAACACTAAATTGCTTTCCAGCACCAAGAAAGCATCAGTATTTCTCCTCTGGCTCTCAACAGTCTATCTTTATGTGGTACTGGTCACTTAGTCTGCAAGTAGACATTGCTTTGCTATGTCATGAGATCCCATGTGGGAAGAGCAATACGCTCAGTGCTGAAATCCCACATTCCTGCCCAGGTTTCCCTCTCATCATCAGGCAGGTCACTGACATATCCCTGAGCCAAGGTTTTCTCACCTGTGAAAATGGGGTGAGTTACCCTTCCAAGTCTTTCACAATTTGGCAATTATGCAAGACTTTCTAACAAAGTGCCTTCTAGGCTGAGGACTGGTAAATAAAGGGAAGGCATTCATGTTTTTAGGGATTTGGTGGCAGGAAATGACAAGGCAAGTCAAAAGGATTTCATTCTGACTCTCCACTCCCATCCAAAATAATCAAATGACTTCAGCAAATTATGCTCAGCAAGTCTTCACCGCTTTCTTCCTCATCTTTTTCAAGCACCCACTTTAGTTTCCTAGATTCACAGGCAGTGAACTTGACCTCCAGGCATGATTGAGTGCCTATAGGCATGTGCTGTGAATGTGGCATCATTTCAGGAGGCAAGAGAGACAGGAAGAGACGCTCTTGCCTGAGAAGAGCTTATAGAGGATGGAGGTGCAAGAGGACGGGAGAGTGGCATCTGAAACTAGCATGGGCTGCACTGGGCCTTGGGACCCGAGGGGCCATTTGCAGCAAACGGGTCTTGACTATCCCAAGTGCTTCCTGGAAATCAAGAATTAAAAAGCAATGGAGAACAGAACAATGCAGGAGAAATGGATCTGACAGAAAGGTAGGTTTGCATTCCATCTCTACCACTTTCCACAGCAAACCACTCCTCTCTGGACCACAGTTTCCACATTGGCAAAATCAGAGGGCCACTTTCTAGCTCTTCTATTCTGATCCTTCGATTCCATTTTAGATGGAGCAGGCTGCAAGCCAGAAGCCATGTGTGCCTTTTCCCAAGCCACACAGTCCCCAAGAGCTGGGTCACTGCATACCAAGTCCCGTGAACAGATGCCACATGGACATGTGCCCACCTCGGGGCAGGAAGGCTGAGCGTTACCTGGTGTGGCTGTTGGAGGACAGGCTCTCCCAGGGCTGCACGCTGCAGCCGGCCACGGCAAAGGCTCCCCCGCAGCTGCCGTCCAGCTTCATGAGCAGGGCCTTGGCAGCGTTCTCAGCTGTCTTCCGGCAGTCATGAGCTCGCTTGAGCATCTGAGTGATGTTTTCATCCCCTGACTGGTCTCCTATGTGACAGAGAAGCCAACAAATTAATTGACATAGGCCTGGACAAGGCAGGCCTGGGAGTGACTGTGCAGAATTAACTCTCAGTTACTTAGGGCAGAGGTGGCACTGTGGAAGGGAACTCGCAGTGCCCAGCTGAAGAGAAGATCTGTGCTCTGTCACTTAGAAACTGTGTGTGGGAAGGTATTGCTTTGCCCTTTCTCTGGGCTCCACTGGCCTCATAGACAAATGTAGGGGGTAGCCATTGGGATCCCCATACTTCTGTCTCCAGCTCTAACACGCTCTGATTTTTCTAATGATCCAGGCTCCTGACTTCTCCTCCCATTCAGTCACAAGGCATTTGGCAATTCCTCTGTGTACTGGCACTTCCCTGTGAATGAGGGAGGGAGAAAGTGGAGCAGAACTGTGCCATCTTTCCATATGTCTGTAGCTTTGGTTAGAGCCCTGTATGGGGGCAAGAGAGACAAAACTAATGGTTCAGAAGAGAGCTTTAGATAGGCTCCATATCATATGTACCCAAGCCACCCCGCCCCTGCTCTTGGCTTGGTAATTGTGCTGAACTCAAATGCCTCCAGGAGCCAGGTAACTGGGCTAGTGCAGAACATTAGGGTGTGGTGGGCACCTCCACAGACCTGGCAATGAAGACCCTGACCAAAATCTTCACATTTCTGTTGTGTTTTAAAAACTTTGCTGGAACAGACAAAACTATATAGATATTGAAAAGATCATGGGTGGCTGAACTGAGGTGGGAGGACTGCTTGAGCCTAGGAGTTCAAATCCAGCCTGGGTAATAGAGCAAGACCCCGTCTCCAAAACAACAGCAAGAACAGCAGCAACAACAATGGTTGCCAGGGGTTGTGGGAGGAAAGAACAGGTGGAGCCAGAGAACTCTTAGGTCAGTGAACTACTTTGTATGATACTATTAACAGTGGACTCACGTTATTATGCATTGGCCCAAACCCACAGAATGTATAGCACCAAGAGTGAACCCTGATGTAAACGATGGGCTCTGGGTGATGATGATGATGTGTCACTGCAGCTTCATCACTCGTAACTACTATACTGCCCTAGTAGGGGATGCTGAAAATGGGGGAGGCTGTGCGTGTTGCTGGGTGAGGCATATGGGAAATCTCTATACCTTCCGCTCAATTTTGCTGTGAACCTAAAACGACTCTAAAAAAACAAAGTCTTAAAAAAGCAAAACAAAACATCAACTGTGCTGGCTAAACAAATCATTGGTTTGCTACCTATACAGCATAGATCCATGCTCTTCCAAATATTTTTAAATGAAATCTCACGCCAAGGCATACAAAATGCTATCCTAACATACAAAAAAGGTAAACACAGAATTGGATGAAGTGGGCACAACTGGGGCACACACTCAGAGTCTCACCCTCCAACCCCACTGCTGAGGCCCAAAGAAACTCCTCCAGCTTCCCAGGGCACAGTTTGAAAACCACTGGCCTAAGGCATCTATGAATGAAAGAATGAACAGAATGCATGCCTGTGACATCAATGAGAAACAAAGAGAAAAGACCCACAATTATAGACACTGTGGGTGCATGTCACAAATGAATTCTTGCTTTGCTGTGCAACAGCTCTACGGCATGGTGGGGCAGTATGATGGGCCAGCCACTGCTACAGCAGAATGCAAGGGCAAGGCTTGAGGGGGACCTGCTAAAAATCAAGCCTGCCCTCAGCACTGGAGAGTGGGCAGGAAATGGGGTGGGCCCATTCTGCAGGCCAAAAATCTCTGCAACTCCCTCTTGTCATTTCTCTGACAACCTTCATGCCTGTCTTCTCTCTACAAATAAGACATTTTACATACAACTCACTGCTGACTGCTATTTGGAAGTAGGCATGACATTACTGACTGGCTCATCTTATAAATGTACACATGAGCTTCCCATGTATTAGGTAAATACAAAGCATTTCATTACTGATTTTGGATATTTAAAAGGCAGATTTATTTAAGCTTTTTCAGCTCCTAAACCAAATAACTGCACTGAGTAGGTACAAGCCTTACGAAAGGTACCTTGTGAGGCCTAAACAGGTTAAGACCTCTGATACCAACTGGAAATACGATGATTGACTTTTTTCCTTTAATTTATCATTTTTAATACATATATTACTTAAAAAAAAAAACCTGACAGCAGGCCAAGATCATTTTAGAATCTGTTTCATATGAGGAATAAAGTTTTATGGTTCAGTTAAAAGACCCTGAAAAATGAGGTTTCTAATGGAAATGCTGGCAGAGTTTCTTCTACTAGGCTGGGCTGGTAATACTATTAAAAAAAAACCAGAGGGAGGAGCAGAGCGTGGCTCCCCATACAAATGAAGGCGCGCTCCTTTGTTGGATCACTTGGATATGAAGCAGGAAATTAATACCCAGGATCCTTCCCTTCCTTCAGATTTGCTTCAGATTCCTGTGCAAGTCAAAACTGAAGGATGAAACACATGTGAGTGTTCAGTGCAAAAGCGAGTCCCCAGGCAAGGGGGGAGGAGCAGGGAAGGAGGACAGGAGGGTGCATTCAGAAGGAGCCTGGATGGTGACCTTCTTTGTAGGGTGCGTCCTGGATGGAGAAGTCCTAATGGAAGCTCACAGCAGAAAGCCGGTCCATAACAGACACCTGGCTACTGCACGTAGGAATGCCTGGCCTACCCGTCTTTGACTCTGGAGTGACCTGGTCACCTTGGCTTTCTGTTTACTTGCTGTGGCCTCCCTGAAGGCTAAGGGGCTGGCCAGGGCTTAGTTCCACATGGAGAGAGATGGCCACCTTTCTCCTTGGGTCTCCCTTTCCTCTTAGCACTGTTTTTATTGCAGTCCTCCTCACATCACTGCAGGCTCAGAGCCATCATCACTGGCCACAGTTTAGCAAATGCTGCTGCTTCCTAGAATGACATGCTTGTGTCTGTTTCAATCAGATATTCCTTCCACCTTACTCAACACTGAGGGAGAGAAGTGAGTGGACAGTGCGGATCTCGAGGTACGGGTCAGGCCAACAGGGCACAGGACCCTAGGGCTGGGGCAAGGACAGGCACAGGAAGGCGAGGTGGGCCAGCAGGGCCAGCATTCTGTGACGCTGACACGAGCATGGGGTGAAACTACTACTTCTTTATTCATAAAACACCTGGAGACCTGGCAGGGGAAACCCATGTTTCAAAACTACTCAAAAGCTGGGTGTGGTGGCTCATACCTGTGATCCCAGCACTTTGACAGGCTGAGGCAGGTAGATCACCCAAGGTCAGGAGTTCGAGACCAGCCTGACCAAATGGTGAAACACTGTCTCTACTAAAAATACAGAGTTAGCCGGGCCTGTAATCCCAGCTACTTGGGAGGCTGAGGCAGGAGAATGCTTGAATCTGGGAGGCGGAGGTTGCAGTGAGGCAAGATCGTACCATTGCACTCCAGCCTGGGCAACAAGAGCAAAACTCCATCTCAGAAAAAAACAAAACAAAAACAAATACTACTCAAAGAAATAAACATGGAGAAGTTCAACCAACGAAATGAGGTGAGGTGAAGGCCACGTGGCAGCAGTGTGCACCTTGACAACTGGCATCACAGTGGAGGCTACAGCCACGCTGGCCCCTTTCATCACTGATGCGGCCCCAGCTCCATCTGGCCTCACTGTCAGCCCAGGAGAATGCCGCTCCTAAGAAGGCTTGTTTGTTTTAACTTGTCGGTAATTTTGTTTCCACTCCAGTTCTTGCTGCATTCAACATAAACAATTTACCCACTCAGCCATGAGGAAAAACGAAAAACGCACTTGACAACCAAATTTTGTGTTGTCAGGAGATGATTCAATGCCAGCCGCTGAGACAGGAGGCAGGGTGACAAGAGGAGGAAGAGGGACTCCGGAGACACTTACCAGGGGAGGACCCCACGCCCGCTGCTCGGAACTGCCCCAGGATGAGGCTCTGCTCACTCTCAGCCAGCGCCAGGAGAAGTTCGTAGGCTTCGATGCACTGCTCACTGAAACAAAGCACACGTGACTTCAGCCCTGGCAGGGAACAGTGGGCACCTTCAATGCAGCACTGCTGGTTCCTGCCCAGGAGGCAGCTCAGGTGCTGTCTCGGCCTCACTCTCCACATGGGCAAGGAAACCACCCAAGCGTATTCCCAGGACAGGGCCCGGGGGCTTGCTCTTTTATTGGCCTTTTTATTTTTAAACTTTTAACTAGGTTCTGGAAAAATACAAGAGAAACAGTGAAGGTGGGAGAGGCCATGTGTCGTCCCTTCAGTGAGCAGCTGAATGGACCATGTGATTCCCTGTGATAGGCCGCTCCAGGCAGCTCCACTGAGCCCATACCCCAGTGTCCACACCCTTGTGCTGTCCCCCATCCACACTGTACCAGGGTTGGTCTGTGTGACAGAAGCGACAGCAGGTCACTTCCAAAATTAGCTTAGTAAAAAACCCAGACTTCCATCTTGGTCACTCTCTCACTTCACTCTCTCAGACCATCCTCTCTGGAGCAGGCCAGTTGTCGTGTTGTGAAGACTCATGAGCAGCCCTATGGAAAGGCCCATGTCAGGAGTAATGACTAAGGCTTCTGGCCTACAGCCATGTGAGTGAGCCTTCTTAGAGCAGATCCTCTAAGCCCCCCGCTGACGTCTCAGATGACACAGCCCTGGCTGACAGCTTGACCAGAACCTCACAAGAGGCTCTGAGCCAGAACCACCTACAAAGCCACTCCCATTGAAACTGTGATGCAGTAACTGAATAGCCATACAACAACAGGTAACTAATATAACATCCCACAAGGCAATGATTTTGACTTAGACCTGCACTATCCAGTATAGTCTCTACTAGCCGCAAATAGCTACTTAAATTGAAAACATTTTGAGCTAAATAAAATGAAAAATTCCATTCCTCCATTGCAGCAGCCATACTTCATATGTTCAGTAGTCACACATGGCTAGTGGTTACCACATTGGGCAGTGCATATAGAGAACAGTTCCATCATCACAGAAAAGTTCTATTAGATTCTTATAAAACTGTAAGTGCTTAAAATGCCTCATGAAACATTCTTAGGCTTCACAAAATCTCTAGCAGTTTGAGTTTGGATTTCAAGGAGGAGGAAACACAATCAAGTCTTCTTTGTACCCATCATTCATTGGGCAAACAAGGTAAAACTGAATCAAAGAACAGTCCCTTTCCTGTAGCCTGAGACCCACATGGACCCTGTCCACACAAGAGGAGGTGAAACATGTGCACAGCATCCTCAGGGTTCCAGATAAGATGCCTGCAGTAGAAACATTTCCTCTTTAAGCAAGTAATTGTCTAGCTTCTTCAAGCTGAACAGGGGATATGGTGCTTTATTTAGTCAACACACCATTTGTTTTGACTGCCTTTATTTTCATTGTCCTTTACTAAGAGTTAAGACAAAGGGCTGAAATGCTAGCCCTAGGTGCTGCCAGCTCCTCATTTCAAGGGCAGTTCATATTCCAGAGATGTGAGGACATTTCCTTATCCATGAGGTGTACTAATATGGAGAAAGACCTTTCTGCTCAAAGGCAAATTGTGGGTGGACAGCAGCCAGTTTCAAGGGTTATCACAGATGGATTATCTGCTTGCTTTGGTGTCTGTAAACCAGAAGGATTGCTCTCTTGCTTTGGCCTCATTTATTTTGCTTTATTTCCTGAATAAACAAGAATGTTTCTTAAAACAATACTGAACTTTTCAGAGGATGCTAATGTATGATACAGTCAACTACTCTGAGGCCTTGGCAAAAACACTTAAGTGGTAACACTAATAAAGGAACCCCATGATGATAATAAGAAGGCATAGTTTTGCAGCTTTAAACAAGCAGTAACTTTAAAACTGATACATTTCAAAGTGACGAGGCAGAAAAAAAAATGGTCCATTCAAATTACCACTTGTTCACCAATGACTGAATTGTAGTTATTTAAATTGGCTTGTTTTCACGACAAAAAATCAGCAACACGCCTGAAGAGCCAGGAAAATATTCCTGTCCTTTGACCTACCGTTCCTGCCTCAGGGATTTTATCCAGAGGAAAGCATTCAAAAGAATGAAGATCTTATCTGCATTAAATTATTCATCAGAGAATTATTTTTAATACTAAAAGTCTAAATGTCTTTTATAAAAGAGAGTAAAATAACAATATAAAAACTTGACGCAGGGGTTACAGCCATTCAGAATAGAGACTATTAAAAGCAACATTTTAAAACTACGACAAAATGAAGAAACAGAATGCACTAGATTTGTAACAATATAAACAATGAATATGAATAAAAATCACAAGAACAAATGAAAATGTGACACAAAAATTGATATTTCGAGTGACAGTACTTAAATAAATTATATTTGAGGTGAATATGTGAGGGGGAACACACCTGTTTACTAACATCCTATTCATTACTCTTAAATGATATTTTATGGTCCAAACCCCTAGATACGCCTTCTAAAAGTCTATTTCTGCTTTTATTCTGAAGGTTACTCTGGATGCATTTCTACACTGAAGTGGCTCCAAACATCCAGTGTGTGTCTCGTGCTGTTTTCCTACCTGTACTGCAAGGCCAGCCTCAGCGCCGTGGCGTTGGATTCGTATTTTCCCACCAGCATGCTCATCCTCTCGGCATTGCTTTTACATTCCTCCAGGGTTATGGTCAGGAGGTCATTTTGGGATTTGAGGTGCTCAATGCGGCTGCAAACAGCAAAAGTCACTTTCACACTAGGGTTATAATTCATTTGCCAATATTTCAGTTGTCTCATTTGTATTCAGGCCAGAAAGCATGTTAGGATGTGGGCTTGTCAGATTAGTAACTGACACAGTATTTTGTCAAAGCAGCAACTCTACATAAAAGTATCGCTAAACTCTGTGTGAATTAGAAATAAAAAATAACCCCCCGGGTTATTTCCCACCCAGCCATTGGCACGCTCACTGCAGGTCTATCATGAGCAGGGTACAGCACTAGGCTCTGGGGATACTCCAAGGAAAGGCGACAGCTGTGCAACCTCCAGGCCCCCATCATGGGGAACGTCTGGTGGGCTCAGATAAGTCACCCTCCGCGTGCAGGGATGAAAAACAGCATCATAGCAGTCACGGCTCTTTGTTAAGCTTTTGCTTTAGTGATTCTCCCAGTAGCCCTTTGAATTAAGTGTTGTTATTCCCATTTCTCAGATGAGGAAATAGAGGCCCAGAAACATTAAGTATCTTGCCCTGGGATTTGAATCAGGTAGTTTGACCCCAGATCCTGTCCTCATAATCACAAACTACAGAGAGAACTAAAGGATGAATCAGTGAGCGAACAGGAACCTGCCCTGGTGGCCGTTAAGCGGGACACGGACCAGGAGCTGCGGAATGTACCCAAAGCTTCTTTCAGGTTACAGAGCCTAACAACTCTAGCTCGTGGTAGGGTAAGCAGTGGGAACTTGGAAGGTTTATAGGATTCACAACTGTAGATTCAGGGCAAATGAGTTTGTGGCAAAGTCAGCGAACAAATGAAAAATATAATCCTTTAGCTTCTCCATTTTCCGTCTTAGGGCACAGATGCTCTCGATGCCACAATTCATTTTCCATGGGACACATCTATTTGTATACTCTGACCATTAAGTCTTAAAGAGAAAGAGTTTCATACACACAAAATGCAAACGATTTGAAATGTTAAGGGGTTTGGAAGCCATTAGCTTCAAGGAAAAATCTTAGACTCACACCTCAGAGCAGAGTATGAAGACACCGGCCAACACGGGAGACACCTGGTGAGTGCAGAACTAAGAACACTGCCAGGCTCTGGCCGCTCCAAGGTCATTTCAAGGTAAGGTGCTATGAGAATGCTTTTCTGTCCCTGTTCATATTAAGACTTCTTGAAGACTCCCCGTTCTCTCATTTACTTTTCGACTTGCTCCAGTCTACATTCAGTCCCTGCTGATTAGATGAAGCCTTTATCCAACTCTTAGACCTCCATGTGGCCAAATCCATCTTAGGGTCCTTCTCAGGCAACACCCTACTGACCTATTACTCTTTCCTTCTTTTTTTTTTTTTTTTGAGACAGAGTCTCGCTCTGCTGCTAGGCTGGAGTGCAGTGGCACGATCTCGGCTCACTGCAACCTCTGACTACCTGGTTCAAGCAATTCTCCTGCCTCAGCCTCCCAAGCAGCTGGGATTACAGGCATGCACCACAATACCCAGCTAATTTTTGTATTTTTGGCAGAGACGGAGTTTCACTATGTTGGCCAGGCTCCTCTCCACCTCCTGACCTTGTGATCTGCCTGCCTTGGCCTCTCAAAGTTCTGGGATTACAGGTGTGAGCCACTGAGCCCGGCCTACTCTTTCCTTCTTAAAGAGCTCCCAGCCTTAAGCCATGGTGGGTCTCTGCTGGTTTTCTTCCTGTCCAAGAAGCCATTTCCTCTCAGTCTCCTTTGCTAGATGTTCATTCTCTATAAAACTGGTAAGACTTGGCATTCCCTTGGGGCTGTCCTAGAGTCCCTTCCGCTATCAACACTCCCACACCAGGGGGGATTTCTATCCAGTCCCACGACCTTCTGTAGCCTAGAGCTTTCTTCTGAGGGCCAGGCTCACATATCCAGCTGCCTTCCTGACAGTTCCCTTTGCTGTCACATTACCACCTCCAATTTAACATTCCAAAGTGGGATCCTTGATTTTCCCTGAACCTCTTCCTCCCTTATCTTCTCCATCTCAGTAAATGCCACCACCATCTACCCGATACTACATGCTACACCAAGCCTGTCCAACCTGTGGGCTGCAGGTGACACTACACAAATTTGTAAACTTTCTTAAAACATGGCTTTTTTTGTGGTCTTTTTTAGTTCATCAGCTATCATTAGTGTTAGTGTATTTTATGCTTGGCCTGAGACATTTCTCTTCTTCCAAGATTGGACACCCCTGCACAAGACCCTTGAGAATCTTTTTTGAGACCATCCCTTCTCTCATCCAGGTGGATCCCAGCTACAGTCTCCCCTGCTTTCAGCTCCGCACATGCCGTGCGGAGCATGAAGCATGAAGCCCCTGGACCCATCCCGCTACAGCTGCCCTGGCCCACTGCAAAGATAGCGCTGCTTCCATTTTTTTTTTTTTTTTTTTTTTTGAGATGGAGTTTCGCTGTTGTTGCCCAGGCTTGAGTGAAATGGCATGATGTTGGCTCACTGCAACCTCCGTCTCCCAGGTTCAAGCAACTCTCCTGCCTCAGACTCCCAAGTACCTGGGATTATAAGCAAGCACCACCATGCCTCCCTGGCTAATTTTTTGTACTTTTAGTAGAGACAGGGTTTTTCCATGTTGGTCAGGCTGGTCTCAAACTCCTGACCTCAGGTGATCCACCATCCCAGCCTCCCAAAGTGCTGGGAATAGAGGCGTGAGCCACTGTGCTTGGCTTGCTGCTTCCACTCTTACCCCACCCTTCCCCTTCTCCACGGCCGGGTGAGCTTCCACTGGGTCAATCAGATCTTGTTCTCCCACATTCGAAACTCTTTAATGACTTCCAATTACACTTAGAATGAAGAGTAAAATGTGTCCATGGCATCAAAATCCACACTGAAGCCAGCCCCTGCTCTCTGCCAACTTGTTTACTGCAGCTTCTTCCCCTTACTCCATTTCAGTTCCACCAGCCTTTGGACAGTTCCTCTTTCTCCCCTCACGGCTGTTAAGTGGCTATAAGAACATCAGTTTGCCATATGGCTATTGTGTTTTAAAATTAATCTTAATGTCAGACTCCCGTCTTCAGACACCTTCCCTGATTACCCATCAAAAAATAAACCCTCCCCGAGCTTCTGCTGGTGTCCTATTTATTTCATTCTTGTATCTTTCTTATCTTACTTGTTTTCTCTTTGGTTTATTTTCCCTAACAGAATACAAGCTCCAAGAGAGAAGGGACCTGATCTATTTTGCTTTGCTTTGCGTGCCACACACCCTAGCATACAGTAGATGCTTAACACAGATTTGTCAAAGAAGGAAAACATTTTGGTGAGTAGTGATGACACCTCCCCTGCCAATCATGAAATTAAAGGCTAACATACTTTAAGAGTAATTGGCCTCCACTTCTGAGGTAGGTAGTTAAAATAGCAGACATCAGAATATACTGGTAGATCATTTCTGAGCACCCCCAGGTTCATGTAGCAGCTAGGATCACAGAGATGACAACGGAGGTGAGGTCAAAGGGTAGGGGTTGGAATTCCATCTCAGCTACTTAATAGCTCTGGATTTAAGGCAATTCACTCAACTTGAAACTTCAAAGCCTTTGTTTTCTCATTTGCAAAAGGGACTACATTACGCTCACAAGTTGAGGATTAAGTGGCTGTCTGTGAGAGCCCTTTGTAAGCTGTTGAACACCATAATAACATGAGCTACAAGCAAAATATTTCCCCCTTCTTTGGTATCTCTTGGGTGCATATAACTAAGTAGAAAGCAACTCCCCTATTCAAGTTCAGCCACAAAGCCAACTTGTTAAATCTCAGAATCTGTAGGGAGGAGATCCTCACTAAACTGAGGTCCCCCTGAAGGCATCTGACTTCATTAAATTGCAAAGGGCATATCTGATTCAATTTTTAAGCACTCCCAGGCCAGCGATACGGAAAAGACTGCTTCTTTACTGCCATGAAGTAATCATCAGGATTATCACTCTTAAGTATTTTGGATTTAATAAGGAAACCATTTAATTTCAAGATTTAAAATGACCTAGATTGCCAATTACCTTAGTTCTCAAGAACTATATTAAACAGCCTCAAATCAGGGAGGACTAACATGATAATTCAATTTATTCAGGTTTGCCACATAGAAGGGGAATGGAATTAAGGAATGGTGGATAGGGAATGGTATACATATTTTTTCCTGGTTAGCTCATAAGCCTGTCAAATTCTTACGATGCTCTCCCACTAAGATTGGCAGGTCAAGGCAGCCACACCACACTTGGATGTGACTCAGCAGTCCATTCTGCACTGCAGAGCCAATTCTGAGGCCGAATGGTTTCCACGGTTTGGCCCTGGTCCTTCTCCTTTGCTTTGTTAGCAACTCCCTCATCACTGGGATGACACATAAGACAGTCTTTGCCAGTAGGCAAAAGGGCAAACTGAAATTACCTCTTTTGTAAGACTTGAAAAGAATTCTTAAATGGGGTATGTATATGGTAAAATTATTCTAGGTAAAGACAGTTAGGATGGGATGTAGGGAGCCAAGACTGAGCACATCTGCAAAGAACATAAATAAAATTAGGCAACCCTCAGGAAGAGCAAGGACAGATAGTCCAGCAGGCCTGGTCTGGAATGGCTCTACCAGATTGCCTTTGCTGGTTCCAGTAGTTCCAGGTGCCCCTGGGATGCTGACTCAACATTCCAGAACTTCCTTTTGTGGTTCTCTGGAGCACAGGCCTGCACGCTTGGCCCCCACCTATGACCTACTTGCCATTCTGTATGGACTGCTCCCAGGACTTTGTAATTTGCAAGGTCCAGGGTGAAACAAAACAGTGGGCTCCCTTGTTCAACAGTATTAAGAATTTAAAATGGGACAGCAGAGCAGTGAAGCAAGTACAGCACCTTTCTAAGCATTCGGACCATGTGAATGCCCAGGCCACAGCTGCGGTGCAGCTCAGACTATCGTGAGCACTTCTCTGATGACCAAGGTGGTGGGAACTTCCAACCCCAGCAGCCTGAGAGTGTTGCTCTATGTCACAATACATAAACCGCCTTGAATAGATCTTTGGAAAGAGAAGTAGCAGCTCCTCCCTGCCCCAGAATCAAATCCATAGGATCTCTCCTTACCTGTTCAGCCGTTCTGTTTCCACCTCAAACTCTCGAATCTTGCTTTCTGAGATGGCAGATCCATGTGAGTAGAGTGTTTGGAAAATCTCCTGGATGTTGGAGCAGTCCTGAAGTGAGTGGGCCAGGTGTTCCGCTACACTGCTGGATACCTGTAAGAATAAGCATTAATTCCTCTTTGGAATGTGTCATTTCAGAGATGCTGGTCCCCAGGCATGTTTTGTATGCAAAATAATTTAAAGCTGATATTCCTTGAGAATTGGGGACAGGGAGGATGGTTACCCTGATGGTTCTCAGTTTGTATGATAGAATCCTAGTATGAAAAGCTAACTATTAAATATTATAAAAGCAGTAGAAAAAAAAAGAAACACAACAGGATCAAAATATGGCTCCATCCCCAAGCATGTGGTGCTGGGCAGCCAGGTGCTGGGGAGATCATGCCTTCCTGGAGTTCCTAAAATTCTGAATGTTGAAAAGAGCCAGGACTTCTTTCCCCCATCCTGAATTCTCTGCCACTCCAGGCCACTGTTTCTGGTTTCTATAGCCCAGGAGAGGGGCTGACTCCTTCATTTTCACAATTTGGCTTTGGCATGGAATCTGAATGCATGCAATTTTTGCTCAGTGTAAAATTCTAAATTAGGGCCTTAACATGCTATCCAGGCTCTCTGTGCCTCTGAGGATCAAATAGCTGGCTCTCCCAGACTATCTCCAATCCTAAAAAACCTCGTAAGGAACTGAAACTACTTCCTTTTCACCATCCATCAGCTCTTACCGTCCCAGGGGGTTCCAAGACTCTACAAATAAAAACTCTGGGACTAAACTGAAGGTTCTGGTCTTTCCTACCACTGGGCTAGGCTTCAAAGACAGTATTCCTCCTCAGCAGAGAGCACATCCCCTTTCAAGAGATGGATGTACAAAAGGCAAAGTTCTTTTAGAGCTCTTGGTCTCCTGGGTAGCAGGGTGATATAAGACAGATACTTCAAGACTTTCATCTATATCACCAGGAACTGGACCTAAATCATTTCTTTCTGAATGGTTTCAAGGAAAGGAAAAAAACTCTCCCTTAAAGCTGAAGAAGTAATTCACCATATGGATGGAAATCACCATACATTTTAATTTGATCCTTTGGAGGGAAATCAGGTATGATTTACTATTGTAACTAACTAGTTTATTGGAGATGGACGTTGGGAGTTCTTCTGTTATCTATAATCCATCATCTGTGTAGCTCTACCAAGTACTTTCTTGCCTTGCTTCTCGTGAACACTCACCCCTATGCTACTGATTTCTGAGCCCAGGACTGGCCGATCAGATGATGAAGATTCAGACCTTGTCTTTGATAGCTTCACCCTCTCAGCAATCTTGAAAGAGAAAACAAAACATTATCAAAAACTACATACCATTCCCCCAGATAAACTGCTGGGACTATGTTTATACAGGGCTACTGTTTAGCCATGTCAGCTAAATGATTAATGAACTTCTTAAGAACAGCTCACTTGTCCAATTTTTCAACCACCAGCTTAAGCCAGGGCCTTTCAACTTCAGCACTGCTGATGTTTTGCCTTGTATCATTCTTTTTTGTGGGGGTCTGTCCTGTGCATTGTAGGATATTTAGCAGCATCTTGGCCTCTAGCCACAAGATGCCAGTAGCACTCCAATTGTGACCATCAAAAATGCCTCTAGATGTTGCCAAATGTCCCCTGGAGGACAAAATCACTTCTGGTTAGAAAACACTGGTTTAACCTAACTTATTAAATTTGATAGTTAGGAATCAACCTTACTGTGATGGCTGTGAGGGCCACCAGGCAAGCCAACAGGCATCATTTTAATCATCTCTCTGAGGCAGACTCAATAATATGTGCTGGGGGGCTGTGGCAGCAAATGGGTGGGGCTACTTCTCCTGGCTGCTACAGCCTGTCCATCATAATCAATTTTTCTTTTTTTTCTGGCAGATCTGTCAGTCTTGTGAGTGGGGAGATCATTGGATCATTACTCAAGGTCCCCCACTGGGCTGAACCTTAGTCTTTGAGAGCAACTCCGTCCACTGTGAAGTATTGGAGCACTTGACAAAATGTCTCACTCTCCATAATGACTTGTCAGCTGTGACATTCTCCAGCTGGCTGATTAATGAGAGCTGGCGTCTAGGTTGCAGCTGAGAGAGACTTAAAACTATTAGTGGGTTATCTCTCCTTGCAGCTCCTGCATGGAAGGCCTGTGCAAGGTCCCAGGGGAAGTCTCTTGGGCTGTCTCAGCTAAGGGCATGCCTGTACAGTGGCTAGGATGAGCCTGGTGCTTCCAGATAACAGGAGGTGTTCCCGCTCATCGGGTCCCTCCCCAGGAACTCACTTTGGCGATGGGAATGTCATTGCTGCTGCTGCTCGTGCTCAGCTCTCCAGTGCTGGGGTTAATCGGGCGGTTGGTGGAAGTGAGGCGGCCAGGGCTGGAGGGACCTGTGGCCTGCACGCTCTGTAGTCGAGTTTGAAGCTCTCTGACCTGAAATCATAAAGATTTTAGACATAGTTGGTGGTTTTGCTGGCTAAAGAGCAAAACATTCAGATGGGTAGATGGTGGGGGTATCATTTATATTAAGGGATCAGCCACTGAAAAGCTAGGTTGGGTGAGTCCACATAAAAGTCACTATTCTTTTTTTTTGGACTAACAATGCTTTTTAAATGAATCAGTTTCTTAAATCACATGCAATACAAAAGGTAGAGTTACAAGCCAAAGTGACGATATTACCATTTTTTATAATTGTCCAAGAGTCACCATATTCTTAACTGAATCTGCCACAGACCATCTTCTATTCTTCACAAGCATGAGGTGAACATATTTTGTAAGGCACTAGAAGCTTCCAGGATGGATGGCCACCTTTTTTTTTTTTTTTTTTTTTTTTTTTTTTGCCCTTTTTTTTTTTTTGAGACAGCGTCTTGCTCTGTTGCCCAGGCTGGAATGCAGTGGTGCAACCATGGCTCACTGCAGCCTTGATCTCCTGGGCTCAAGGGATCCTCCTGCCTCAGCTTCCTGAGCAGCCGGGCCTAGGTGCACACACCACACCTGGCTAACTTTTACATTTTTTCTGTAAAGACAGAGTTTCGCTATGTTGCAGGGCTGGTCTTAAACTCCTGTGCTTAAGCAGTTCTCCCACCTCAGCCCCTCAAAGTGCTGGGATTACAAGCATGAGCCACTGAGCCTAGCCACTGGATAACCACCTTTAGGCAATGTTTGTTCATTCAGCCCCAAGTGCCTGGACAGTGCTGGGGACTGCAGACAGAGGACCCAGGATGGAGTCACCACTCTCATGGAACTCAGAGCCCAGAGGAGAAAGGAAGATTTCAACACAAGTGCACCTGAGTGTTATAAATTTCTAGTTCAAGTGTTACGGAAAGCAGGAAAAGGGAAGAGCGTAACTCCAACTGAAGTCATCCAGAGAAAGCTGAAAGGGCAATGGTACTTGAGCAATCTTAAAGGAGAGCAAGTGAGGAGCTGGCTTCAGTGGTGATATGCTTGGGGCAAGGGGGAGGGGGGCACAGGTGCTAGGATGACATGCTATGTTTGAAGAGCTGCAAGTTAGTCAATATGTGTGCTTTAGAAGAGGTGTCTGCATTGGGGAAAAGATTAGGCTAAGAGACGAGACAGCAATGGAGCCAGCACCTTTTCCCCAAGGAATTGGATTTACCTGCAGTTTACCTACAGATGGGATTATCCCTTGGACAGTAGGTAGGAAAGTCTAAATAGACCTTCCATATATAAAAAAGAAACATGGGGCCTTTGAATTACATTTAAAACACATATTTACCTGCATAGAAATTAATGTCCAAGACCTGCTTCTCTTTAGTTACAATTGTGTGACTTCCAAAGACAGTATTCCAAGTAACTGAAGAGAGTTGCTAGAGATGGGTCTTTTATAACCTTGGTCAGTTTCAGAATGAAGGTGCAGTGTCTACCTGAAGGAGCAAATTGACTACAGCACCCAATGGTCCTTAGAAATGGGCACCAGACTTTGCCAGGCTGAGAAGAGTTAGCACTAGGATATTTAAAGCAGGGCTTTTCAAAGAGAATAGTGTACTGGAATCCCCTAGAGGGCTTGTTAAAACAGATTCCAGGGCCCCACCCCCGGGATTCTGATTTAGGAGGGTTGGATGAAGCGCAAGATCTGCATGTCTAATAAGCTCCCAAAGGACACTGATGCTGCCAGTCAGGGGACCATACCTTGAGCAGGGCTGACCTAAGGCACTTCCAAGGTCACAAAGCGCTTTAATCTCATAGACAGTAGTGGAGCGATGCCCTGCCGCCAGCCCTGCCGCCAAGAGCTCCTAGACAAGGGCAGAGAACAGGCACATGGCCCCTTCTCTTTTAAAAGGCACTGGAAAGCTTTTCATATTAAATGTCTGGGATGTCTCCATCCTGCTAACTTGGGAACCAAAAGTAATTGAAATTTCAATAATTCATCAACATATTAGAAGCCAAAATAGGAAAATTCCCTCAAAGCAAATTGCATTCAGTAGTGGAACAGTTCAAAAGTGCCTAATTGTCTGCCATGGGTCCCAGTAACGGAGCATCGATGGAAATGTGTGCTGTCCTCGAACCACACCAGACACAGGGCTCAAAATAGCCTCAAGAATAGGAAAATACATCCATGTAGAAGCCAAATGGTACTGCTGGTGAGAGATTACAGGACTCTTTCTGAAATGGTTCCTGACAAACCAAAAATGGGTACAGGGGTAGATATCTCATTATGCCACAAAGAGAGAATGGGCAAAGAGAGGGGGCTCATTCACTCCCCCAGGCATGGGGAAACCTCCCAGGTGAAGACCATGAATTCAGTTTTTACTGCTGATGAGTCTGATAAGGTCCTGAATAATTAACAATGTTAACACCACTCCAAAACCTAAATGGTATCTGAATTGCATGCAAGACAATCAATGGTCTGTTCTTTGAATCCCTACAGGCCTACTCAGCTGCTTTTTTATTCTGTATTTTCTTTTGAAAAAATATGGATAAAAAAAATTCCCGGGCAATTTATAAAGACTTTATTAAAACTATCCATGTTTTAAAAACATTTATTCTTCTAATCACAAAAGTAAAACAGGCTCATTATAGAAAATGTAGATGACACTAAAACATAAAAACAGTCAAAGTGCTTAAGTTCTTTCTTACTCTACAGAGGCAATTACTTCTAGTCATTTTCCTTGCTGTATGTGCGCACACATGTGCTTAAAATAATTTCAAAATCTAAATATCTACTTTCACTTTAAAAGCTTTGGACCCAGAGAATGTCTCTGAAAAATAAAGGATGATAAATATGTTTATTTTGGGCTATGCTTTATTATTTAATGATAATTGCTAGCCAGTAGAAACAAATCCAGCTGAAGGGAGTGCAGTGTGCCTGTCAGGGAAAGAAAGACAGCTGGTTAAGTGGCCTTCTCCCCATCTTTTGATTTGAAAGTGAGAATCTTAATTTACAGGAATAAAAGCAAGAAATGAAGGCTAAAGCCAAAATGCTGAGTCAGCTTAGGCACGGCCTGGGAAAGAGGCAGAAACATAGCTAATGGAGCTCTCACTTTTATTCTCACCCATTGTAGTGGATTGGATTACGTCTCCCCCAAAAGATATGTCCAAATATGAATCCCCAGTACCTGTGCATGTGACCTCATCTCAAAATAGGGTCTTTGTAGATATAACTAAATTAACGATCTCAAGGCAAGATAATCTGATTTGGGGTGGGCCCTATGTGTAATGACTGGTGTTCTTACAAGAGAAAAGGGAGGGATATTTAAGACACAGTCACAGAGACACAAGGAAGAAATGTCTTGTGAAGATGAAGGCAGAGATTGGACACAAGTCAAAGGGCACTAAGGGCGATCAGAAGTTGGAAGAGGCAAGTGTGGCTCTGCCAGTACCTTGAGCTTGGGCTTCTAGATTCCAGAACTGTGAGAGTTCGTGGCAATTAAAATATCCCTCCTTCACTGAAGATTTATTTTTTTGAGACAGGGTCTCACTATGTTGCCCAGGCTGGCCTCAAACTCCTGGGCTCAAGGGATGCTCCCTCTTAGCCTCCCAAGTAGCTGGGGCTACAGGGGCATGCCACTGCACATGGCTTTTTTTTTCCCCCCCCAAGACAGAGTCTCACTCTGTCACCCATGCTGGAGTGCAGTGGTGCAATCTCAGCTCACTGCACCCTCCACCTCCTGGGTTCAAGCAGTTCTCCTGCCTCAGATGCCCAGTAGCTGGGACTACAGGCACGTACCACCGTGCCCAGCTAATTATTTTATTTTTAGTAGAGACGAGGTTTCACCAGCACATGGCTATTTTTATTGAAGGAAGTATGTTTCTCTCTACCGAATATATATTTTGGAGTCAAGCGATAGCCAAACATCAAGGCTAACCTGAGTCAGGGACTGCTACTTGTGGGAATATCATTCATTGCCCTTTTTCTCAACTGGGATTCCTCAACACCAGAACATGACATGACAGGCCATTTTTTTTAACTACTCCTGAAGTTACTGTATAGCTGGTAAACATTACAATGGCAAACATGCTCTGAAAGAGGGGTGCCAACAAGGAGTGTCAAAGAGCAGAAGAAGAAATCTGGCTGGCCTCTGCCTCCTGCGAGCAGGCAACACTGGAACAGAACCTTGAAGGCTGAGCTGTTCAACGAGCAAACAGAGAAGAAAAGATAATGGGGAGACTCTGGAAGGTTCAAGTAGGGAAATGACATTAAAAGGCCACAGTTGTTTCTCTCTGGTGTTTAAGAGTTTTGTAAAAATCATTCAATTAGAGGAGAAAATGGACTGAAGTAAGGAAGAAAAAGTTGGTAAGCCAAGAGCTCTACTGATGGTTCAGGTGGGAAATTAGGAGTCGGCGAAGTGGGAATAAGGATGGCAAGATATACTCTAGACCAGCACCACCCAACGGAACTTACTGTAAGGACAGAAATGCTCTAGACTGGCGCTGTGTACTACGGTGGCCCAGCGCCACACACGGCAGTAAGCACTTGCAATGTGCCTGGTGTACCCAAGGAACTGAATTTTTAACTGTGTTTTAATTTATTTAAATTCAAACCTAAATAGTTGTATGTGGCTAGTAGCTACTGAATCCATCAGTGCAGTTCTAAAAATATTCAAGAATGTAAAAAAAAAAAAAAAAAAAAAAAAAAAAAAAAAAAAAAAAAAAAAAAAAAAAAAAAAAGACCCAAATTTGTGGCTGTGGTGACTTAGTGGATCACGGAGTTACTCAGCAATGAGAAAAGAAAACCTACAGAGAAGCTGATCTTTTCAGAAAGAAATGACCAGAGCTGACAAAGTCCGGACTGACCATGATGTCAGCTTGGACATGCTGAATTTGAGAAAACAATTGGGTATGTGAAGGAGGGTTTAACAGTCAACAATTAGAAATGTAAGTCTGAAGGAAAGCGATTAGAACCGGATAGACGTAGGAACGCCAGGCGTGGATAAGGTCCAGGGAGGAGATGTGGCAGTGTGGCAGGCAGAGCA